GTCAGACAATCTCTGTCTTAGTTTGCACAGAGTAGACAACCGACTAAGGTTGAAGTGGATGGCTATTATAGTAGGTGGAGCAAGCCTGGGGGCTGAAATGACCATTGGAGGCGCACTCACGATGACAACACGACACATGGCAAACAGTCAGATTTCAAAGCAACGCTCTCACCTAGTCTGTCTTGCCGCAGAAGACAAATGACTGTGCTTGAGGCAAATGTGCTAGAGAGGACTGGAGAATAACATCTCGTACTCAGAAGCCAAAAGTCTTCACTGTACCACTCTCAAGGTCTTCGGTCCAAGATTTTAGGTTTGGGTTGATCACACACTAGAATACTTCAATCTAACATCACTTTGACACCCCACTGATAGTACGGTTTGCCCTATTGACTCAAATAGATGCAAAAGAAACTAGTAAACAAAAGTCTATGCTTCGGCTTCTCTCTCCATGAGTAAATTCATTTGCTTCAATAGGCATCCGATATTCTTCAATGTTATCATAATAATTTTAGGGGTCATAACTCTTTGTTAAACAAAATCCTCAAGGGCTACATCTGTGTATATTAACAAACACATTAGTCCTTCAACTGTTCTGTCCATATAATTATCCAAAACTCTCATGGGGCATAAGGTGCACTTACAATCTCCCCCTTTTGAAGCATTCAATGACACTACAATTAAAGCTTCATAAGGTAAAATAATGAGCTACTACTAGCGAGGATTTTTGCTTCACGGCATAGAAGGCACATCCCCAAGTTAAAGGTTTATCCCCAAGCCATATATCCTCTCAAAAGTGTGTAGTTCAACCATCTCCAATTATGAATTACCCTATTAAAGATAGCAACCTTAGTCCTCATTAAACCCTTCCAAAAGGATGAGTCATTCGGCTGGGCCATAGCTTGGGACAAGGTCTTAGAATGTCAATACTCGTTACACAATAACTATATACACACCCCATCCTCCTCCTCGGAGGAAAGCTGGTAAAGCCATTTACCAAGAAATACATTTATTCTTGATCTTAAGGTCCAGATAGACCCCCTTGGTCATTAGCCCGACACAAGCTATCCCACCTCACAAGACGATACCTGGCCTTATTCTCACCACTCTGCCAAAAGAACCAAGAGCGATAAAAATCCAGTCTTTTCCGCACCCCAATTGAGAAACAGTAAAACGAGGCGAGCTACGACGTTCTCACAGCGATTTGACGTTTTCGACCGTTGGATCGCAATACTGGACGTTCCAGATCCATCTACTGCGCGTCGACTAGCTTCTACCCGTTTTTCATGTCCTTACTCGCGCGGCCCGCCCGGCTCAGGGCCGCTGCTCCACAGGCTGACCTGGGTGTCCTCTCATTAATCGGGCCAAACCAACCGTGTTAGCTGAAATACAGGCCCATATGGTGTCTGGCCCGTACTTTGCATCCCCTGCCTCTCTTTCATGAAGTTGCGTCTGCCGTGCCTTCCTCACCGCCGCCGCCGCCATAGCCTCCTCAAGCGCCAGTTGTCGTTCCTTCCTCAAGCGCCCTAGCCTCTCTATCTCTCCTACTTGCCGCTTCCTATGTCGTTTAGGAGCAGGGAGAGCGCCTTGGATTGATACAAAGAGAAGCAAAGCGGTTAGCTCACGTCGTTATGTCCACTTGACTTTCCTCCCATCTTTTTTCTTCCCTGCTGCTTGCTACTCATTGAGCCTTTTCCTGTGTTATCTCAGTCTCCTCTTCGATCTTCAAATGTGCATTTCAGCATGTTTCAGAAGACACTCATAATATAATTTTCTCTGCAAAGATGGTATTTTGTTTACATCGTCTATTTTCTATTTTTATTTAACAGATTCTTACTTACAGGATGGGATAATGAAGCAAGGAAGGGAATCAAAAGTTTGTCTTCCTGTTTCTTGAATGAGTTAGAAATAAACATAGGCAAACTTGTAAGCACTGAATTCACGAGATCTAGCCTACCACCATATGACATCAGTTTGCTTTTTTCCAATAGTAAGTTTCTTTTCAAGCATGCCCTCAATACATTTCCACTGTTTAGTCATTAAGTTACGGTGATGAATTGGTACCCCGAGATAGCTAAACGGGGGTTGACCAATCTCAGTTGCTTATAGTTATTCTCTTCTTCTTTAGTGCATCCAAAGCAGAAAAAGAACATTGTTATGGAAAATAATTTTAAGCCATGACAATTGCTCAAAAAGCCACAACACTTATTTCATATTTATCGCCTTATCCATATCATGCTCCATGAAAATGATAATGCCATCAACATATTATAAAATGGAGACCCCCCGTCCACTAGATGTGGGATCAACCCTCCTACCTGAGCGTTCTCCTTGGCTCTACAAATGAGGACCGCCAACATATCTGTGACAATATTGAAAAGCATTGGAGACAAAGAATCTCCCTACCGCAATCCGGTCCGAGTCTTAAAATAGTGCCCTATATCATCATTGACCATAACTCCCACGCTATTTTCATGAACAAAAGTCATATAGAAAGCTCGAATTAAACACCATTAAATAACCAGATTGTTCTATTAAATTGAAGAATCATAATATAAACATCGATGAGGACGGTGGTAAATAAGTAAGAACACCGGTATAACACGACATCACTAGGCGCATTGTGTGTGTCTGTGTCACGCGTTCCATGGGATGTCATCTTTTGTGCTGTTATCACGATACGATGGGCATCGCGCCACATAACATGTGGCGTAGAGCCGGTTGCGCGGTAAGATCGTGCTTCACATGCACGCACGATATTTTACATGGCAAGCAAATTTCTCTGTCAAATATGAACAATATTTATCTCAACCAAATAACACAATGGGATCACGAAACATGAACAAAATTTTTCGCCACCCTCAACCAAACAACACAGCAGGCCATGAGAGATCGGTAGGCCACCAGTAGAAATTCTCTGCTCCATTCTCTACTGCTCTTAATCCGATCAAATCAAGCTCATCAGACCGACAACAAAACTCAAAAGGGCACAACAAATAGAGGAGGAAAATGAAACGAGAGGAAGTGAGAGTGAGTGAGTGAGAGAGGCAGGAGGGGGCAGAGTCAAGAGGAACAACTACAACAACATCGAGACCGAGAGACGGAACGGAGAACGGCACCACCAACACAGACACAGCCCGACCAAACACAGCAGCCAGCAAGCCTCAAACCTCGCATCACCACCTCCATCCCCGTGGCAGCAGCAGCAAGCCACCAGCCGCCGCCGCCGCCGCCGCAGCACCAGCAGCAGCGTGCCTCTGTAACCTTCCTGCCGCCGCGAGAGGAGCTCGTCCCAGCGGCAGCACGTCTCAGCAGCGGCGCCGGGAGACCAGCTGGAGATCGGTTTCTGCAGCACCTGCCTCCTCTCCTCCTCCGCGCCAGGGGGAGCGCGCGCGCGCGCCAGCCAAGGTGAGAGCTCGTTGTCCCCGGCTCAACCCCCCCAGTCTCGATCCGCGCCCACGCGCGCCCGCGACCGGCAATGGCGGAGCGCGTCGCCTGCCGCCCAATGGCGCCTCCTGCCTCGCTGGAGAGGCTCCTGGTTGGTGATTTGGGCGTATGGAAGTTCGAATTCGGGGGCAAAAACCCTAGTTTCAGGTCGGAATTCTGGTGGTCCGTGTTGGATCAAAGGCCAAGCTGGGGATTTAGTTTGAGTGGCGCACTGTCGCGGCGGTGCACGTTTGGTCGCCCGGTGGACTTTCGGCGTGGCTTCTCTGCTTGCTGGATATTTCCTTGCTTTGTGCGTGGAGATGAGCTTGGAAGTTTGAATTTAGTGCGAAACCCTAGCTTTCTTTACCAATTGGATTGAGGTCGCGGATTGGATGGGAGGAGCTCGATTCCATCCGAGCTGCAGAAATAGCTTGAATCGTGTTTGGTCACTCAGTCGATGCCCTGTGATGTGGCTTCTGACTTGTTGGAGTTTGAATTGATTATACTTAAGGTCTTCAGCGCAAACCCCCCATTTTATTCATTTCTAGGAATTAGGAGAAACTGTGTTGGAATCGAAGGAGCTTGTGATATCTCTGGTTTGATGATATTCCTTTTCGGTTTTGTAGGCATAAGCTCAATGTTGCTCAGGCGATAGGCGATCCTGGTTTGAATTCCAGGATTATTATTTAGATTTCTGGGTCGGAATTTGAGTGTAAGGTTAACTCTACAAGCGCAGTGTGCAGAAATGCAGCGTGATTAGATCAGGGGAACTTGTGTTTGTGTTATTCTATTTTAGGTCTTGTTTGGAATAATTTATCCTTTTTTTTGCTGACCTGCATACCATTTCAGTATAACCAGTAACACAATTCTGTTTCTCTATATATGTTATTTAACAGTCTTGAGCTCATGATGCATAAATAAATGTCTCTTGTCCTGTATTTGCATAAATCGTAGTTTTTTTTTGTTCAAAGTTCATCACTACTCCCTCCATTCCAAATTACTTGTCGTGGTTTTAGTTCAAAATTTTGAACTAAAACCACGACGAGTAATTTGGAACGGAGGGAGTACATACTTTGTCTGTTTCAAGAAGTTTTCTTGGTGATGTTTTACCTGAATCCAGAATGTAACAAGTTCATTTTGCTGCTATATTAGATCACTTTTGTGATTTTAAGTGCATTCACAAATTTATATCACAAGGAGTTTATCGCTAGTGTGTGTGTGTGTGTGTGTGTGTGTGTGTGTGCGAGAGAGAGAGAGAGAGAGAGAGAGAGAGAGAGAGCGTGGGTGGTGGGGTGGGGAGGGGAAGGGGCTGCTAGTTAAAGTTCTACACTGATTCACTATTCTTGGAGAATCCCATGGTCCATTGACATTTTTATTTCGTGCTCTTCTTGTTACTTTACACTCATACTTGTTATACTCCTAACTCAGATACTTGTTCTTTGCAGTAATTTTTGGTGAGTGGGCTGCACACGCAGATAAGCAGGACCGGAGGAAGAGTACAATATTCTCTGGATATCCAGTTGTAGATAAATACCTTCTGGTTCAATTGTATTTACATGGAATCTCTTTCCTGAGAGATGCCAACATCTAAGCCACCATCGGTGCCACCGGCACCAAGCCTGCAACCATTACCATCATCTGCAGTACGACAGAACAGTCGTATTGACCTTCGTGAGATCAAGTCCAAGATTGTTAAGACGATTGGGCCAGAACGAGCAAAGAAGTACTTTCAACATCTGGAGAGATTCTTATCATCAAAATTGAGCAAGAATGAGTTTGATAAGCTGTGTCTTGTGGCACTTGGCCGGGAGAACCTCCCATTGCACAACCACCTCATCCGTTCTATTCTTTTCAATGCCTCTGCAGCGAGTGGCCCACCAGCAATTAATGCATCTAAGATGGCTGAAGATGTCACCAATTCAGAACATACAATGGTTCCGCATGTCTGGAATGGTGACACTTTGAGCAAGCATGTCAACGACAAACACTCATTGAGCAGAAGTGTGAACACATTAACACAGCATTCATCACTGACTCATGGTGAGACTATCAATAGGGAGAATGGTGCTCCAAATTTGATTGGTTTGAAGAGATATACACAGCTTCGGCAAAGTGAGCATGTGGAGCCATTTACCAAGCGATCATGTATGGGGAAGGCACCATTGAATTTTCATGGCTCTCTACATAGCAATGGACCTTCTGCTATAAATGCTAGAGAATCCTTGGGAGAAGAAATTACACAACATGCTCAAGTTCTGGTGCAAGCTCCAATTGGGATTCAGTTTGGCTCTGCTAATTTTTGCCAGGCTAAAAAACCTTCAGCCATTGCTTCTGTCAGTTCAGACAATAGCTCTATTTGTTGTTATGACCTTGGTGAACTATGTGATACTTTGTCACTTAGAAAGAAAATGGAAAAAACAGCACAAATGGAAGGCTTGGAAGGGGTCTCAGTAGAGTGTGCTGATCTGTTGAATAATGGAGTTGATGTTTTCTTGAAGCAATTGATTGGATCTTGTGTTGAGCTTGTTGGAGCAAGGTCTCAACATGGTAAACTAAGCCATGCGGCACTGAAGCAGCAGTTGGGCCGTAAGATAGTAAATGGTGTATCACTGCAAAATCATACCCATGTGCAGGGTGGCATTATACCTCCAGGGTCTAAGTCAATCTCAATGCAAGACTTAAAGGCAGTGTCAGAGCTAAACCCTCGTCTGCTTGGGGTCAACGCATCAGGGCTACTTGAAAAGATCAATTCACATGACTAATTGGATGGAGCAAGTTGGGTTTTTCACATTGCAAGATTGTACCAACTTGATGGTGTCTCTTGCTTCATGGCCTTTGTATTCAGGTCATAACTTACCGAGGGTGGTGAAACCTGGAGAAGGCAGGCAGACTTTCTAGTTTGTACAGTATGCTGATAATGCTGTATCTAATATCCTGCGCAAATTTTGAAATAAGCAAAGTTCTGATTATCTTCTAGAAGGCTAGAGGCTGTATAATAGACCCATCCGTTGTCTGCATCCAAGCACCAGTAAAGAGGCATAAGTGCTTAACAGAACTATGGTGCAGGGCTTCAAATGAATTGATGAGCCATGACTCTGTAAGTGTTCTGCACCAGCATGTGCTTTTCACTTGTTACATTTTTAGCATGGATAGAACAGTATCTGATCATTTATTTGCAGCCAGTTTTGTTTCAGTATTGTTAGGAATAGAAACTATCTATCAAGAATATCCAGAAAACAGTTATAATGTTCTTGTCTGATGAAATTCCTTCTACATCAGAACTTTTTTTTTTACATCAGAACTGGAGGGAACCATGTTAAGGAACAAATTGGCAGATGTTTATTAATGCACAGACGTTGTAAGATAAAACAGCGGGAACACCATTTTGTTAGCTACCCTTATGTCTTGGTTGTCAGCCCTGCTTTTGTTAGATCTTTATTCATTTTCTGTTCGATAGAGTTTATTTAGTTTCGAGGGCTTAATACTGCAGTTATGCTGGTGTGGTTCTGCAATTGGTACTTGGCTGTTTTCCTTGGATGAAGTTGTAACCTGTGCTTAACTGGCCATTTGTCAAGAACAGGAGGTATTCACTTTTAAAGTGGATAGGTGTATAAGATATCAATAAGTAGTCATTAAAACACAATTAAAAAAACTACGTAAAACTTTGTATGAGCTCTCTTTTAGCAACCAAATTAAATTGAAAACTAATCAAACCATTGTAGTAGCGGGAAGGTAGAACTTACCAAATTGGTAATTAATTAATGTTAAAAGCTGGCATGTATGTATGCATATGAACTTTACTAAATGTGTACCAAATGCTTGTGTATGCATCAGGTGTTCCCTGTTGGCTAAAGATTTAAAGTCAAAATTGTGAATCTTAATATATTATTTAGCTTCTTACTTCATTAATATTCAGCCAATAGACGATCTACAAAGTTACAGTATCTGCACCATCTTCTGATGGAAGTTGCAGTCACTGCAAGGTTTCATTGATGCTTAGGCCCTGCCTGGGAGTCGCTATTCAGGCTAGGAATTCGGAATTGGTATTTGATCTCGTCCAATGCAGCTGTTTGCATGATCGTGGAATTGCGAACTGGAAAGCATCCCAAATACTGCTTGGTATTTGCAACACTTCCGCACCCAACCCCGCGTTTCCGAGGTCGTAAGCACCGTATTCACTGAAAATCACCCGTCCTTGCTTTCCCCTCCACCTTTCCGTCTCGTTATTCTCGCCACCAGGACCTCCGCCTCGCTTGTCCTCCCTGTTGCCTTGCTCTCAGGACACCACCCGCCACCGCTGGAGTTCCCTGTCGACAATCGCCGCTGGTTCCCTGCCCCCTGCTTCCACCTGTTTCTTGCCGACTGCCGTTACTGGTTCCATGCCCCCGTCTCCACCGGTTTCCCCATATCTTCTTCCCCTCGAACGGTGCGACCTCTATGGCGGGATCGATCTTGCGCGGCAATTCCCAGCGCGGGAGCCAGTGGCTGGTGTCGGAGCAAGGCACTACATGCCTCGATGTGTAGGAGCTTGTGTGGCAGCTCAAGCTGCACCTGGACATCACGTACTGAACCTCTGTCGCCACCTTGTGGCGTGTTTCCCTGTCGGTGCCGCTCTTCAGCACACCCAGCCCTCTATGCTCTAACACTTCGGCCATCTTCTCCTCCTACATTGACAACCACCTGTGGGTGTGGTTTCTTCTCTCAAATTCTAGGATTCCAAAAAAGGCTAGCATTGAAACCCCAAACCAACACCAATTCAGTCAGTATTGGAATTTGAGGCCCAATTCAATTCGTCCTGCCCAATATCACATCAAGACGGACCCTTAGGTTTCTTACTGCTGCCTGATGAAGTTCTAAATATGTTATGGACATTTTTTTGTTTATCTGTTCAACCATTTCTATGGTTCGTTCCTGTTCTCATGGGATGCGTGTTAATAAACGGAAATGTTTATTCTCCAAATCTTGTTGTCCATGCATGAAAACCCTTGCCCTCCAGTATTGTTGTGATATGCATTTATTTTGGTATAAAATTGTTCTTCTCATAATTGGTTGGACTCTAATAAAAGGCAACAAAAGCAAACATTTACCCAAATGATAACGCCCACACGTGTGGCATGTTTGCACATCGCCCACACGCCTTGATCCATGTTGATTCTGTTTTGCATGAATCCTAAAGAAATCTGTTAGAATCTGAGTGCCACGTGGGCATCATCGTGTGTGTGGGCGTTGGAGAGTTCGCCCACACGCCCCGCAGCACGCGGTTTGCCAGCTGCGCTGTGTGGGCGAACTAGTTTCTGCCCACACAGCCACCACCTAGTCCACGCGCGTGTGGGCGAACTGCTTTTCGCCCACACGACACTCGTACGTTGTTGGATGGCAACTGCAGTTGCGCGTACGTGGCAACTAGGTAAACACACATGGCAACTATGATTCGTTGCTAGACGGCAACTGCAGTTGCGCGTACGTGGCAACCAGATAAACACATATGACAACCGTGATTAACCATACATTGGCAACTATGGGTGGACCACACGTGGCAACTATTGTTTGACCATATGTGGCAAGTAGTTAATCACACACGGCAACTATGGTTTGACCATATGTGGCAAGGACCCTTAGCTCTGATCAAGCTGTTCCTTACCCAGGTTGTGTAACGGCCTCTATGCGGCCTCACGACGGGTGCGGGAGAAGAGATAGATGAGAGACTTCGATATTTTCCGGGGAAGGGGAGCCTTGGTGCAGCGGTAAAGCTGTTGCCTTGGATTCAAGTCCTGGAAACAGCCTCTTGCAGAAATGTAGGGAAAGGCTGCGTACTATAGACCCAAAGTGGTCGGACCCTTCCCTGGACCCTGCGCAAGCGGGAGCTACGTGCACGGGGCTGCCCTTTGACAGTTATAACAATGCTTCCTCTTATACAGAGGTGCTAGAGCGAAAAATGCGCAAAGTGCTTAAAAGGAAGTATGAACAATAACACCTAAACAAATTGAATTGTCTTTTATGAAACTAATTACCATAAGATCTAAATTTCTGCATCTGCCATATACTCTGTGCTGCTGTCATATTTTGTTTTAAGCACTTTGCACCTTACATAGGTAATTGGGCAGCTTATTTTGTAATCTCGGTTTGAAAGGAAAACCGGGTGAAAGCCGAGATTACAACACACCCTCATGGCCATCATAGAACATGGAAGCCTATTGCAGGGCACCCTAGGTCGACCTGACCACTAGCAAGGTCTCGACACAAACAACTACACAACTCAACTGTCGGCACCGACCAACATTGTCATTGGCATCACCCATCACTCCCAATCTGATGACTTCAAGTTCACCTCAGATAAGCACCAACTTACTGAACATAGCAGGTCACACCAGAGCAACAATGGCCCCAGCAAACAGTCGACCGATGCGTTGAGGACAAAGGCAGTTCTTATTTTGTCCATGAGCTCGCAAGAAACAGTTGCAAGTGCACTGACCTAATCCAGCGCATCAACCAGAGTGCCGCCCTTGAAACCACCCTTCGGGAGTCATTGTTGCCGCCATGCCTCTCGGCACGCAGCTCTGACTTGTGGTGGCTAACAAGAAGAGACATCCAATTGGCACACTGGACCGTTGACATCGAGAGGACAAGTCGTGAACCAACTCTGTTCCCAACCATCGCCATTGCCACACAAATCACAATGCAGCCAAGTAGCAAGCCACCATCCACGGGCCCCTCCATCTCGCGTCAAGTCCAAAGGGCCAAGGAGGGAAACGACGTAGTGTGTCACCATCATCCGATTCCTGTGAGCAAACAGCTTGAGTAAATCATCATGATAACGCCTTCATGAAGATAGTCGCTGTTGCCAACTCCAGCCATGGGCCGGAGGCAAAGGTTTCGCCTGGCATTGGCCCGGAACTAGTGAGCACCAAATCCTTCACCAGCCACAGCCACCCCCACGCATTACAAGATGCCAGCCTGCATGAGGCCTGCTCGGATCCAATGGCACAGAACCCACCCTGGACGTTTGGATGCCTCTGGAGCAGGTCATAGCAGATCACCACCCTCACGCTGTCAAGCGTAAACCGCCGCCTGTGAGCTGCTAGGGGATGGCCTGCTTGCCTCCTTTTTTTTCCGACAATGGGTGGATTTTATTGACTTGAAAGGGAGCATGAAGGGGATATAAACACAACAAGCACACACCCGGCATCTGCATGACTAGGATGCACACATCCAACACCAATTCGCGCACACAAAGAATAACATTGGCAAAGAGCAAAGTCATACAAGAGTGAAGCTATGCCTAAGCGGAGGAAGAAGAAGAACCCCGAAGTGATCAATACAACGCTCGACGAACTACAACAATGGGCATCTACACCAACCGTCTCTTGACATCTGAACGACAATGATAAATATTCTCCTGCAGCAATGCCTCTAGGAAGGGAACGGCGCTCAAGCGCCGCCATCGCCGGATCCAACCATCGAAGGTCAGATCCTGAGTTTTCACCCTGAAGATCAAGTCTGAGCAAATCCGAGCAAATGCCTCCAACAAGGTAACGATGCAAAAACACTGCCATTGCCAGGTATAACCAACTAGGGCCAGACCTAGGGTTTTCACCCTGGAGCTTGAGATCGGGTGAGGCACACCAAATCAAAGTCATCATGTCTGTAGCCACCACTTTTCGTGATCCCAGCAGATACATGCGTAACACTGCCTTGACATGAGATGTCACGCAAGTGAAGACTTAGACCATGACTGCACAAGTTGACAATCGAGCTGTAACAAGAGCCATTCGCCACCAAAGGCACCAAACGACGAAGGTCACCGTCGCACATGTGACAAAGTGATGATGGAGGAAGGTCACCGGCACTGCCAAAATTCCAATTCTCGTGACACTCCGGCAGTCCCGCTCTGTCTCCATGCTCCGCCGTGCATTATGGGTTGGCAAAACACATTTGTCATTGCTGCCGGATCTGAAGGTCCAAGACCCTCCAGGCCGTTGTGACGACTGCCTAGCAGTGCAGGACCATGGCGCCATCCGTGCGCCCGAGTAGTGTACCACATTGTTGGGACGCAAAAAGCAGGCGCTGCCGCCCACGTACCTGCAAATGTGTGTGATTGCAGCCACCAATGCCTCGCCACCAGAGACCGCCAAGCTGGCCGGAAACACCGACGCCACCGCTGCACAGCCATACCCTCTGCTTCAAGTCGTCGCCCATAGATCACATCTCGCCGCCAAAGGCTACCAGAGCGGAGACCTCCCTGTTGGCGCCTTCATCGACTAGTGTCGTAGCTTAGCCCGGCCACCGGTCTATAGCAGTGACGAGGAGAAGGGAGGACGGGAAGGGCGGAGGCAAGTGGCTATTAGGATTCGACCAGCTGAAGCGACATTCAAGGACGAGGAGGTTGGGAAAAAGAGGGCTGGCTTTGCTAGGCGCGCCTGTGCTGAAGCGACGTGGGGAGGTCTTTGCTCTTTTTTCCAGCTAGGCAGCTTATAGTTAGCAACTGAAATTATGGCAGGTTTCTCTTCCCACAGTGAAATTATGGCAAGTCTTTGTTCCTTGCCACCATGATCTTCATCATTCTCTTATATTCCTAGTTCAATGAGGATGGCTTCATAGCTTAGGCTTTGGCAAAAGGATAATCAGCATTGGAAGCCACGGTAAGCGACTCTGATGCTAAATGTAATGCGCCCCAGTACGTTTCAGGGCAAACATCGCCGAGAGAACTGTGGGGCGAGGATGGCTGTTTTAGTGTAGGGATGATACTATAAATGAAGATAAATATTTACATTGTTTCTTTCTGGAAATCACAGCAATTGCTTCTTTACATAGAAATGTTTGAACATAAAATGATTGGAACTGCATAAAAGCAAATATGGAAGATAGTAACTAATCAAAATGGAGTTTCTGAAAATAATTGTCCTAAAATCTGAGTTAATGCTGCTGCCAAATGCTCTGATTTACTGCTGTCGTGCCTGGGCACCCAGCTATTCAGAATTTTTATCTTTACCTACTCCTGTCCCTACTATCAGGTTTAGGTTTTGCATTTTATTGTTTTTTGTTCGCCGAGGTTAAATACTTTCTTAATAGTTAGTGAATTTTATTATAAGTAGTGTGCTGTTTCTGTTCGAAGTATCCTGAGGCTGGCGTGTGCATTTACAATATTTATTCTAGAGTTGCAGTCCAGTCCTTTTTCCTTTTTATTAGTTTTGCTGGATGATTCCCATGATTCCTATCTAGTTTAGTGGTTTGGGGCTACTTGAAAGCAATGGCTGCTAATTTCTCATCTTATATTGAATGTTGAAGTTGCAAAAAGTCAGGATAACATTACCGTTTTGTGCACTTAGTCCTGCATTGTGATGGAAACGAGTGCTAGTGTTAGTATTTGCAACTTTATAAGCAGTGTAATTGTGACTAATTATTTCTTGAGATTGATGTAATTAATTGGGTAAGCTACCGTTGAAAGATGGATTCTTTGAATGAATACCTTTTCCCTGTTCCATGTGATGTATAAGGGTATATTTCGGAGTCTTTTGTGTCTGAATTGGTAAAGAAGTCTGCTTGTGAAGCCTAATATGTTTGCTAACATTTTTTGAAGCCTCCAGGAACCCATGCTGATGGCACCAAATCTGTAAATGGGCCAACATCCAGGATCTGCCAAAGTCGTGTTTTATTGTCTGCGGCGAGTGTATCTAGCAGAGGATGCAAAGACGGCACAGAGCAGAATTCGGTCGCTATTTCCCTGGAGCTGGCTGCCTATTGGAAAGAAGTGGAAGGGCCTCTTATCCCCATGGTACAGATGATGGGTTTTTGGTCTCTATTTACCTCCTGACCTGACAGTTGCTAGAAAATTGCAATCCCAGTTGTACGTCCCATGGAGCTTTCACATACAGAAGAGATGCAGTAAGAAGCCCCCCGCCCAACGATCAATACTGATACTGACTGCTGTGCAGGCGTCCTCAGAGCTGTACAATCATTGTAATATGTGTAGCATTACTCTAGCGAAATCATCGGTGCAAAAATGTGTGCCATCAGTCATGACCATGTGCAACACAAGTGTGAAAATTTCACAAATCTAACATGTGTGGCATCAGCAGTGACCATGGCTCTCAAACGGCTCTCAGTACTCTGCGTGTGGTAGGAAATGTGATCGGACGTAGTGTTTCACGATCACGAGGAGGTTGGGCGGAAGATGCAAGTTTCCCCAGGTTATGTTTGGTTCCGTAGCCCTGAACCTATATGCTTGGGCCTCACCCCTGCGATCAACTTTTGCTTGGATGGATAGATGTTGTCGTAGAGTGTCAATTATTGAGACTCCAGCTGGATAATGTTGGACTGCCCCACCAGTTAGGATGCTGATGCATCTTGATGGAATGGCTGAAAATGACTCTTGTCGTTCTCTCGCTATCATACAGAACCGCGGACGGCCATTGCCTACAGCCAAATTGACCTGCTCTCTGGTCCTTTCTTTTGAATGAGGCCAAAATACCCCTTCCCCTTCTTTTGAATGCCGTTTGTGCATTCAAACATTTTTGTTATAGCATCATGTATTCGACATTTGGTGACGCATTGGGAAAAATGAGCTCGTTTGCACACTAGAGAAGAGAAGAGAAGGCGTGATTCATCATGTACATATGCAATACCTTTCAGAGAGTATGAGCACCAATGCTAGGATTTCCCAGCCAACCAACAAGCACCAAGGTTTCATTCAAATCTCCGCACCAACAACAGCAACAAGCAGCGCATCAACAATGAACGCGGCCATGATCAGTCCGAAACAAAAAAAATCAACACATGGAATACAAAGGGACCAAGGAAACCATTGTATAAACACTGACACTCGAGGAACCATGATCACAGCATATTCAATGCAGGATGCACCCAGGATTGGTCGATCAGCAGAACTGGGCCGAGGATGAGCAACTACTCCTTGAAGGACATGGCCGTCTCGAAGGCCCCTACCAAGGCCTTCACCCTGCTCTGCCTCTCCTCCAGGAGCTTGCTTTTCGTCTCCTCGATCACGTCGTTGCTTTTGGGATCATCCTTCCTCCATGACTGAGCAGCTTCAGTCCTGCTGCTTGCCTTCGTCATAGCCTCTTCTGTCTCTGCCGCTCGATCCAATTTATCAGCAACCTTTGCAATGTCGTTTCCGCCGGCATCAGCATCCTCTTTCTCTGGCTGCTCCTTGATTTCCTCCTCATTCTTGCCCTGTTGCTGAGTGTGCGGCCCCTGCTGATTGCGTCGAGGTGAAGCAGAAGCGGAAGCAGCCATGTCGATGGGTTTCAGGTCCACAGGGTCAGGAAGCTGCTCCTGCAACTGATCTTCGATGGACGGAGTGGTCAGGCTCTCGGATTCCTCAAACCGCATCGATGGCTCGTCATCTTTCTCCTTCCTGGTTGTAGTGCATGGCTCCGCTGCCCTCTGAGGAGCACCCCTTGGCCTTGAGCTTGCGTTAGCACCACCATTTGCCGCTGCTTCTCTTTTCTTTGCCGCCGTGCCTGGCGCGCGCGCCGAGGACGCGGGCAGAGGCTTCCCACCTCTCAAAGGCCCCGGCGATGGCGCCCTCTCGATGCTCGGCTTTGGGGGCGCCACCCCTTTGCCAGGGGCGGGCCTTGGCGAAAGCTTATTCTTCAGCAAGGTAGAAGGCGAGTTGGAGGCTGGCACTGTGTTGGCCATGTCCTTGAAGGAACTGCTCAGCGGTCCAGCGAGCGCATGAGGCCGCTGTGAGTTGGCGGTGACTTTGTCGGATTTCGCTCTAGCCGGAGCCGGCTTTGAGGCTGGCTTGCTGCCATGAATGGATGAGCCTGAGCCGGACATTGTTCGTGAAGAGATGGACCGGCCAGCGTGTGACAATGAGGGACGGCACATGTCCGGGGAGGCGGAAGGAGCCGCCGCAGCGGCAGCCGAAGGACCGAGCTTGCGATCTGGGGAGCTCGGCACTGACCTCGCCCGGCGCGCGCCGTAGCCGGAGGAGGAGGTCTCGCTGCTGGAGGGCTTGAGGTTGGGGGCCATCCTGGTGGCCCTGTCCCTGCTGGGATAGAGAGGCCCCTTCTTGGATGTCGCCATTGGTATATCCCTAGATCAGCTCAGCTGCGCTGCACAAGAGGCGGCACCGGTGAGTTGGGCTTGCAGCTGCCAATTGCATAAATAAACTAAGTAAAAAACTTGCCCCATTATTGTACGAACACGATGAAGCTGAGAAAATAAGAAAATGCGTCAAGAATCCAATCGTGTTGTTCTTGGTGTGACATCTAATCGCCGGCTCCAGCAAAAAGAGCAAGGGGATAAAAGAGACGACAAAAATAAGCTTATCGCCACGAATTCTCGGGTTAAAGTATTTGATTGATGGCGCGGGCTCCAACAACCCGTGATTCTTTCCTTTCCTGGTTTCTTTTCTAGGCTCCATACCAACATTTCAATCAGCCCTCAAAATACATGAAAAACATTGCCATTTACTAGTACTAATCTAGAACCCCCGTCCGTACGGTACCAGCTACCGATGGAACCGAGAAATGGCTGCCGTTAATGCCAATAATTATCATGAGCATAACGTCGCCAGCAAATGCAAGGAAGCTATCAAACAAGAAATTTGTATGATAAGATACATACATACACAAAATAAAAATCTGCAGGAAACCGAAGAATGCCTGTCTGTCTAGAAACCCGCTCACCCACCCATCTTCATCAGAGTCACGGACAGCAACGACCAACGGAAGAACAAACAAGGAACCGGCCGCCATTACTGACAGGAAGTAGGAAGCAACCACTAGCAGCATGTAGGAGAAGGAGAAGGAGAAGCGAGGGTGGCCTCATACATACCTGGAGGAGGTGGAGGTGACCGTCCGGAGGAGGCGGTGGGTCGATCTGGGGATCCTCCGGCTGGGCGATGGGGGAGCTATTGTGGCTCAGATGCGGGGGCGAGGGCGAGGAGGAAGGAGGGGAGGGGAGGAAAGTTAACACCATGGCCGGCCCACATTTTATGCCGCGATTTGGACGGTAGCTGTGCGGGTGGGAGAGAGCGCAGCACGGAAGGAAGGACCCCCCCCCCCCCAATTGCCTCCCGTGTTTCCTTAAAATAGCCACGCACCGCGTAGGCACCCGAGGAACACAACGGAACGGCTCATCTTGGGCTTTGCCCTGGACCTGGAGGGCGCCTCACAGTGGAAACCCTCTTGCATTAACCGATTTTCCTTCTTTCTTTTTATAACAATGACGATCCGGTCTTCTTTTTAGAAAGATCGTCATACGATAAATTGCACTGGATTAGGAAGCTGAGGCCATGGCCAACGCGCTCAGGCCAACTCTACCGCGCGATTCCAAACGGACATCCGTTTTATCCGGATTCTTTCTGTTTGGATAAGGTAATGTGGTCGTATTCGGGCCGTTTCTAGGATGTGATGGTCGTGCGTCCAACGCGCGGGCGCATCCCGGTGACATCCTGTCTATGTATTTTTTTTCTTTGCACGGCCTTAATTTTTTTATCATTCATTTTTGATACATAGGAATACATCACCAAATTTTGACTAGAAAAACAAGACCAAAGAAAACAAGAACCACAAGAATACATTTTAGAAGATATCCAACTTCCATAACTGCTCCTATAAGTTGGATTAGTGTCTTCTCGATGCATTCATTGTTGATCTGCGGAGGAGCCTCGATCTTGCGTGCTTCTTTCTTCTTCGAGTCTAAAGAAGTAGAGGTTGTTTCCTCGCATCTAGTCTCATGTCTAGCCTCTAATCTAGCAACAAGTGCACTTGTCTCATCTACATCCTCTATGCTAGCTAAAAGTGCACGAACATCTACTAAATTGCGCTCTATCAATATATCGATGTACTCTTCTTCTCAATACCAAAAGTTGCATCCATTCTACACAATAAAATTTGAAGTTAGCACAACTAGTCAAATCTAGAGCACAAACCGAAGCTAAAAAGAGCACATACCCCATCGTTTAAGCACTTGATGAACACCCATCCGGGATGTTCTGGCGTTGTAGACAAGCGGCGCATGACCTTCTTTGGGCAGTGGTCGCACTTAATGAGTGGTAACGGTGCGCCGAGGAGCTTTTGGGCTAGCACCGAGCCCGGCCGACCGCCATTCGTGTATCTGCCGGCGGATCAGCGATGGTGTAGATCCAAGCGGCTAGAGGAGGAGCCACTACCTGCATGTGGCCTTGTGGTTGTCGGTGTCGAAACCGGCGAATCTCGGGTAGGGGTCCCGAACTGTGCGTCTAAGGCTGATGGTAACAGGAGGCGGGGGACACAATGTTACCCAGGTTCGGGCCCTCTCGATGGAGGTAATACCCTACTTACTGCTTGATTGATCTTGATGATGTGAGTATTACAAGAGTTGATCTACCACGAGATCGTAGAGGCTAAACCCTAGAAGCTAGCCTATGATTCTGATTGTTGTTGTCCTACGGACTAAACCCTCTGGTTTATATAGACACCAGAGGGGGCTAGGGTTACATAGAGTCGGTTACAGAGAAGGAGATCTACATATCTGAATCGCCAAGCTTGCCTTCCAGGCAAAGGAGAGTCCCAGCCGGACACGGGACGAAGCCTTCAATCTTGTATCTTCATAGTCCAACAGTCCGGCCAAAGTATATAGTCCGGCTGTCCGAGGACCCCTTAATCCAGGACTCCCTCCGTAGCCCCTGAACCAGGCTTCAATGACGATGAGTCCGGCGCGCAGATTGTCTTCGGCATTGCAAGGCGGGTTCCATCTCCGAATACTCCATAGAAGATTTTGAACACAAGGATCGTGTCCGGCTCTGCAAACAAATCCCGCATACCACCGTAGAGAGTACAATATTCCACAAATCTAATCCGCTGACAACTTTTCCTAACGCGACCCCACGCCACGATCCGGTCTTTATTCGAACCATTCTCCCTAACCAGCTACTGCGCATGTCGCGAGGCGGTTTTATGGGCATGTCTTATCGAAGCAGAGATCGTGTCCCCCTATCTCGGGATTCTCATAAAAATACGGGTATGGGTAATCCAACCGCGTCTTTAGCGCGACGCTTGGGGAATAAGCGAGTTTACCGGGCAAGTGGGGAGGCGCTGGATCCCTGCCGCCTTTATAAGGAGATAAGGAACCCCCTTTTCACCCACGCCTTCTTCTTCTGCTTTATCCATTCCCCTCCGCTAGAGCCCCAACGCCCAAGCGTTCGTCCTCTCCGGCCACAAAGGCCTTCCGAAAATGTCTGGATCCGGAGCAGGAGGCAAATGGATAGCCTCTACCGTCCGGTAGAAGGATATCAAAAAGCTTCGGGAGGCCGGGTACCTGGCCCAGAAAATCAGCCACCGTCTCCCGACGGTAGGACAGATCGTCCCTACTCCGGAACCCCACGAGAGGGTTGTTTTCCTCCCTCATTTTGTCCGTGGGCTGGGGTTTCCCCTCCACCCATTCGTTCGCGGCATCATGTATTACTATGGGATCGATTTTCATGATCTATCCCCCAATTCCTTCCTCAACATCTCGACGTTCATTGCCGTGTGCGAGGCCTTTCTCCGCATCTCGCCACACTCCGGCTTATGGCTGAAGATCTTTAATGTGAAGCCCAAGGTAGTGGGCGGTGAGCACGCCGAGTGCGGAGGCGCCATGGTGAGCAAGATGCCCAACGTCACATGGCCAATAGGTACTTTCAATGATTCCGTCAAAGGGTGGCAGCAGCAGTGGTTTTACATCATTGAGCCTCGTGGCACGAAATGGGCCGCTGCTCCTGAATTCCGATCCGAAGCCCCCTTGCGGCTTACGTCCTGGCCCAAGAAGGGCCTGAATTGGTCTTCGTCCGACGAGCTTTCGACACTCCAGACACACGTCAAGAATATGGAACACAAGAATATCAAACTTGTCAATGTAGTCCAGGTGATGTTAGTTCGCCGGATCCTTCCTTGTCAACACCGGGCTTGCAATTTATGGGAATTCGACCCGGCCAAGCATCAGACCCTGCGAGAGCTCTTTGGCTCCTCACACAAAGATATCTGGAAGGTGCTTTTTAAGTCCGGCAAATCATGGTCGGACTCAGCCGAGGACCGCGGGTACCACCTGTCCCGCCCCGCAAGTTCGGTAAGCCATTATAAGTTTTATTCGCATAACCCAAGGGAAACACTTAATGTGTTTTCCACAACTCTCCTAGGGCTGGACGAAGAAGGCGGGGCGGATCTACTGTCCGGCCCCGCTACCTGAAGAACCGTCCGGCCCGCTTCTAACGAAGATGCTGGTCCCGGCGCCCTACAAGGCGCCGAAGAAGAAGGCCGAGTGAGGGGCCAAGAAGACCAGGGGCGGCCTCCGTCATCGTGGCGCCTCGGACACGACATCCGAAGACTCCAATGCCCGTTCTTCCTCCGAAGAGGATGACGAGGAGGAGGAAGACGAATCCCCGGTGGGGGGAAGAAAGAAAAGGACAACCTCCACATCGTTGGAGGCCGAGTTGCCTAAGAAGGGAAAAACTCCTCTTCCAGAGGAGTCCACCACCGCTGATAGCAGCCCGGAGTGGGATCCCAGGGCTCAGCCCCTGGTGAACTCGTGAGTATATAAAATCTGAACACGTTCATGCATCCAGACTCATCATGGCACAATATTTTAATCTGGGCCATGCTTTTTGCAGTCCGGCGAGGTCCCGCGCGGAGCAATCCTCGTCGGAGGATTTGCTAGACTCGGATACTATGGAGAGCGGGACACCCCCGAAGGCCCCTTCCTCCAAACATGTGAATGACACCGAGGCTTTGTCCCAGGAGGACCCATGCCAAGGAGGGGGGGAGATTGCCAAGGTGGCGCCAGGAGGTTAAACTTCAGGGGCCGGACACATGGGAGAGAAGGCTCCCATGGCGTCGTCGACGGGAGCCATCTTGAATTCGGCCCCCAGCCAGACGCAATTCCAGAGACCAATATGGTTCCACAGTCAGGCAGACGGCCTCCCTCGGCTAGAGGGGGTGTACCTGTTCCACCGGCAACCTCTATCCAACCAGAGGTGCTGGATACTTTATTGGCGACGCTTCCATCGTTGATGAACACCGTGCCCTTATGGGTGCGGTGATTGAGAAGATTCAGTCTGCGGAGAG